TTCTGAGAAGTAAGAGATAAAAGAAGTTTTTGTTTTGGGGTTTTGTTATTGTTTTTGCTGAATTCACATTACTCAGCATTTGCTATGAACAGCAGGTACATTCTGGGATCTTAAGCTAACTGCTATAGTTGTCAGAATTGAATTTTTATGTACATTGCATGTTCCCATCAGAAACATCTGTAGTGTTTGATGAGTTTTTCTGTTTGTTTTGCTCATGAATGTGTAAGAAGGGTAGAGAATACAATTGTATCCTTGCCCTGCCATTCTGGGTGTCAATAAATTTGTACTCACCCCTTTTACCCAAAGCCTAGTTAAATCCACATTTATTAAGCACCTATTGTGTACCTGGGTACTGTAACCCAAAGCGGAAAACCACGGGCATGCTTTCAGTGGGCCAGGCTAACGAATCATTTGTGCACTAGGCCAATAGAGAAGTATTTTCAAGGTATGTATAAGCCCTAGATCAGTGCATAAACAGAGACTTTGATCTCTGGGAGCCAGGAGAGGCATCACATAGAAAAGGCAACACTTCAGATTTAGAAAGCTACATTGGTGCTTATGAGGCAGATCAGAGCTTCCCAAGGGGCAGAAGAAATGGTGTGCACAAAGTCATGGTGGCAGCGTCTACACAGAGTTCAAGGAACTCTACATAGCTGGCTATTACTGGAGCAGAAAGAACCAGAGCATAGCTCAGTATTGCTGGAGCAGAAACCCAAAGAGGCAGTGCACACAATGATTAGGAGAGTTGCAGAATCTTGGCTCTGTAATGTTAGGTAAGTTAGCTGCTTTGGACTTGAGTTGCTCCATCTGTGAGCTACGGATAAGTACATTACTTATCAGATTGTTGTGAAGATTAAATGCATTCATATTTGCAAATTGCTTAATGTGATGACTGGCACACAAAAACTCTGAATAAATCTTAGCTGTTACATTACCACCATCATTACAACACAGAGATGAGCAGTGGGTGATGAAGCTGGGAAGAAGAGCAGAAGGAGTTTGCTCTTTATCCTGTCGGGGAGACTGATGTCTTTTGGCCTTGAGGAGCTACAATCTGAGAATGGGGTGAGACCAAACCACCAACTTGAAAATATTTGTAGTAGCCTTGCTGGAAGATTCTTCAGGCCTAAATCAAGAGTATGGTGCCTTTGAGAAAAATTAAGGGTATAATAGTTGATGAACTATTGGCTATGGTGGACAAAGAAAGAGTACATGATGGCCCTGGGGTTTTGACTTGGGAAACCAGAGATGTGGAGGAACCATCTGTACACATGAACATAGGGGAGGGGAAGAGAAGAGAACCTGTACATGTACTTGTCCCTTTTACCCCCAAAACATAAGTATTGATTTATTAACAATTAATTGCAAATTAAGTACCACAGGGCATTATTCCTTCATCAAACCCATGCAGAGCAAGGAATACAGTGGAGAACACACACAGTGCTTGGGACTCACCAGTGAACAGGTATTTAAATAAGTTGGTTGCCAAATTGAGGTCAGTGTTCCCACAGCTGTAAGCAAGAGCTGAGAAGAGAGAGTAGCCATGTGGGTGTGGAGTGGGGGACCTGCTTTAAATTACGTGGTCAGGTAAGGTCTTTCAAAAGTTAATATTTAAGGAGAGATCTAAGAGATGAGAAAGGGCTGGCTGTGGGAAGTTTGGGGGCAGCTATCTGGGAACATCAAAGGTTTCAAGGCAGGACAGAAAGGAAGTTCCCCAGGACGGCAGTTGGATATACAGGTGAGGGCACTCGAGCAGGCTGGACCAGAAAGTATAGATGGGCATGGGAGTCATCAAACCATCAGAGAAATAAGTTAGCTTAATCTGGGAGATGTAAAGGGGCACCATTTAAGGGGTGGGCAGAGATGCAGCTGGGGATAGGAACATGGCTTGGAGGGAGTGGAGGCAGTCCCCTGGGAAGGAAGACAAACTGTAGAGTGTTGTCCCAGACAGCCATGAGCATGGCTCACAGCACTGAAATGAAGATGTGTGTTGTAGTTGCCACCTGGGAGGACATTGAGGTCCTCAGCACCAACAGTTGCCTCGGAGTGATGGGCTGAGGTGGGTGTGTCCCAGACAAGAAACAGGAATGAAGCCAGGAATTGTAGACTCTGGGCAGTGACCACTCTCTTGTGGACTGTCTACTCTAGCAGTCATACATCATGGTGTTGGAACCTCTGCCCATTCATGGCTGGCCTGTCAACCTCTTCCTGAATCATATCCTTTTACTCACTGTTGCTCACTTTATGGACTGCTTTATCACCCAGATTGGCAACACTGGTTTCCTTTTCACCTCCTGCCTGGAAGCTCTGGTTCTTTCCACAGCCTGAGTGTTGCTTTCTTCCGTGTTTACAATCAGAGCTTCTCTTGCTTTCAATCCCTGACTCTGAGCGTCCCTAGCTCCCACTCACCACCTCTTGATTTCCTCTTGAGTCCTGGCACTGGGCCTTTTCCCCTGCAGCCTGTCCCACAGGTGACTGAAACCTGGCCCCATGTGTAGCTCCTCCTCTCCTTCTCTTCACGCTTGACCTGAGGGCTCAGCTCAGCCCCTCCCTGAGTCCCTGTGCTCATTTCCTCCCACTCCTTGCCTTGCCCAGGCCTGTTTCATAACTGCTTCCTTTCATCCTTCTCCTTTCTTTGTGTTCTCCACTGTAGCCTGCCTATCACCTCTCTTCTCCTCTCTGACTAGGTCAGCTCCAACGTAGCTGATGTTGTTTCAAGCCCATCCTGCAGTCCCCTTTCCAAGCCTGGTCATGGATACTCCATCCAGGGAAGAGGAGAAAGCTGATCCCCCCAAGACCTGGGTGTCCTTCACCCTCTAAGTGATTTCTACTGAGTCCCTGGGCTTCCACACATGACAGGGAGTTCTTACAGACTCTGCAAGGCCCCTTTTAAACCTGACCAGATACAAAGGACAAAAGCAGGAATATGTACATTTCCAAAGGGCTGCTTTTAGTTTCCAGTGCCAGGCTTACAATAAGACCTCACACGTTGGTTGTGTTGCTCCTGTAACATGCAGGTTTTTGTGTAGGAAGAGAGAGAGTGAGAAGGTAGACTAGACTGGAGGAAAGGAATGAGTGAAGAGGGACAAGATGGAGAGAAAAAGATGTGTGAAAGTGCAAAAAAACAAAAGTAGATTTCAAAAGAAGTTCATTGAAGTAAACCATTAGAATATGGAGCCAGTTCTCCACAGGGAGGCATGGGCTACTTGCTGCTATAATTGGCCAGCACTAGGCACTCTGTGTGTGTGTGTGTGTGTGTGTGTGTCTGTCTGTCTGTCTGTCTTTACTCTCAAGGTAGTGGGGTTGAGGGTATATTGATAACTGAGAACAGAACTTTTTATTTGATACTTCGCTTGCTTTTCTTTACAAATATATTTTGTTATCAGAAGCTTAAATAATGCCTTTAAACAGTGTAATCCTACGGTTCAAAGCTGGCAGATATTGGTGTCATGAAATCATTTGAGTCCTGTCTGGGGCTAGCCTGTAGTGGAGAGAGGCTGGAGTAGGAACCTACTTGAATACTTGAGATGATCCCTTCTTGTATCAGTTGAAATGCAAATAGCTTGTATCAGAGAGATTGAGATTATAGATACTGGACCCCAGTGTACCCCCATACACACCCATCTGTAGTGTGAGTGAGCATGCACAGAGTATTAATCTGAACCACCTTCACTACGTCACCTAGTCATTTGAATGTGACATCACGGTAATTGAGTAATCCCTTTGAAAGTTGAGTAGTAGAACCAAGATATTAAAAAAGTCCTACGGCTACCAGGATGAAAGTGGGCACAGGGTGTGCATAAAACTCTCTATTAAAAATAGTTATTCTTTGTTAGTAGAAGTTTTGGCTATTTAGTGGCAATTTTTTTGTTTGTTTTTGCTACATGGCACATTTTGTAATTGGAAAGATCTCTAAATAAAAGTTCACAAGGTTGTTAATACGTGTAGTTCTTGTACTTTGTTTTCTTTTCCTCTATCTGCCTGGAAATCATGAACTTGATTGTAAATTCTGAAAATATCGACCTTAAACCTTGTTAATAGAATAAGAAGGCTTGGGAGAGTTTTAGTTCCATTAATGGCTATTGGTCATGCTTATTAGAGAAGGTAATTATACTGATATCAAACTGAACTCATATTGTTTTGTCTTAAAGGAAAAAAAGACCCTAGCACAGACTTTAGGCTTTGATCAGCACTTGAAGGTAAAATAGATTGGTAAGAAGAATATGCAGTCATTAACGGTTATTTCTTTTCTTAAACACCCCATTGCTTGGTTTATTATAGAACCCCAGAATTTCTACATTCTGCTGGTTTTGTGGTCTTCCATTTATCAGAGACTCTGATTTTGTTAAGAGCTTAGGGTTTCTTACCAACTGCACAGCAAAATGCAGATCTTGACATGGGTTAAGCCAGATATCATTTGTGTTCTGAAGTTCTGAAATAAGCTTTTACCTCTTAATAGGTAAGAATCAGCTCCCCATGTCCTGGAAAGTTTCTTACCTGACATGAAATTCAAATTGCAGGTATTTTTTGGAATAATTAATTAGGTTCCAAGTTGATCACCTAGCTGGAGGGAATGAGGATTTGACTGGTCACGTTTGTGGAAACTTGCTGAGGTCTCTTAGGGTCAAGGGATTAGAACAGGAAGTGAACTATGAATTCACCAATACCATTTTGTCGTATGAGTAAGAAGTTGTCTTTGTTTTGCTTTTTTCTGTCTAATTTTAAATGTTACAGTCTAAGTTTATGTCTCTTCCTTCAGAGTCACTATTAGACTATAACCTGACCACTGCAGAATTTCTTGACTATCCAGTCTGGAGGAATCACTGAACCTGTAGCTTACATAGAAATCACTTATGCTCCGCTCACGTTCAGTAGTCATGTCTTTTAAAATGCAATATGCTGGCTATTTTTAAGTTGGAAATTATAATTATTAAATGTTGTACTTTACAGATGTGTGGAGGGGTTAAGGGGGGGGAAAGGGATGCTTGTCATGGGAAAAACTACCAGCTGGATAAAGCACTCTAGGAAATGTGGCGAATGAATCCTTTGTTACTATAAAACAATAGCCGTTAAGTGGCTATTATGTAATGTTGTTTCTTAAGTCTGAGTTGGATGGCTTGTTGATTTTGGAACTTGAGAGAGAATTCCTGTAAAACTATTACTTTCTTTTGGCTAATCTCAAGACTTCGGATACAAAAAAAAAAATCAAAGAATTTTCAAGTAGATTACCTAGATCAGAAACCAAGCATTGGCAATATTAAAACCCTATTGGGTAGAGTTTATTTTCTCATGTGAAGATTAATGTTATCTACTTTGTAGTCTTCATCTGAGCACTCGTCCAGATAAACACAATTTGCTCACCCAAAAACTGGTTCACTTTAGAATTGGCTTATGCTTGCTCAACTACCCCAGAGGGTAGGCAGGTAGCAAAACAAGTGCATGTCACCTGCTTGGCAAATTGGATGAATGATTGCAAATTTGCATTTCCCATACAGGGTAAGCCTCTAAGCCAAAAGATTACTCATCTGTGATCTCAAGTTATGACCATTATGGTCATTGATGGGACAGATGGAATGTGGGAAAGTTCAGGGTAACTTGGTAGTAGTTCCTGTTACGGAGTCTGTGAAATAAGCTTCTGTATTTATGGGTCATAATTTCCTGTTATATCTTAGGATTCGATGTCTAGAGTTAGATGTTCGGACCATGGAGTTAATAAGGAAAAATTGCTCTGTTTTTGCTCTGTGGCCTGTAAAACTTGCATGTAGCATTCTCTCTCAGTAGATGTTTTCTCTCCTATTAAATTCAGGTAAGTTGGCCTTAGAAATCAATAGTGGTTCTGACTTTGGCTCAAGATCTACTCCCTTCGATCTCTTTCTTACATCTTGGTGGTTTTGAGGGCATTTTACCAACAAAGCCATCGCCTAAACCATCTCCTGGCAGGTGGATTTCATGTTTCTTTGACATTGTGAGGATTGCTTTTCACTTGAAAACTCCTGACAGGAAGCTCTTTAAACAAGAACACTTTTGGTTTTTCTGTTTTTTAAACGTTTTTATTAGTATATAATAGTTATACAGGGGGATTCGTTATGACATATCCATATCTGCATAGGTTGTCCTTCAGTTTGGTTCCTCCCTTCCATTATTCTCCCTCTTCCTCCTCCCCATTCTTAAAAATGACTTCAGTTAGGCTTCAATGTTCCATATTCATATATGTATAGAAAATACATTGACCATTTCCACCCTTCCTAACCTTCATCATTCTCCGTCAGACTGGGTAATTTGGGCATTAAAAGGTACGGATGGTGAACTGCTTACAATAGCTATATTATGATGCTACTTTTGGATGCCATTCCTAGGATATGCACACATTCCATTGAATGGACCCCAGGTTGAAAAACCCATGAGGGAAAATTGTTCTGACTCTTGGCACTGAGAGATGTATTCAGAAGTGTTGTATTCAAGCCAGAATAAATATATATGCCCTTTACACTTCTTTCAGTTAGTAGAAATCACTTCTAAACACTTTGGCATTAAGGAAGCTCGTCATGACCTATTGTTCCAGAAAGATTATAGTTCTGTTTTAAGCCAGTTCTTTAGTTCCCATGCAAGTGACATGCCCAGCCTGGAGCTGAAGAAACAGCCTTCGCTTTTCAAACCTTCTGTTCTTATAGGTGTGTCCAGCAGGCAGTGGCTTGTAGCTGTTCCTTCAGCCACTTAACAGGTTTGATTTCAAATCTATTTAATAGAGAAACTAACATGGTTGGAGGGTTTTCATGGCCCAGCATTTATGGATTATGTTGGGAAGTCCCAGGTGTGTATATATCCTAAATGTTATGATAAAGCCTGATAGATTAAAGTGATTTTGTTTTTGCTTTTGCTTTGCTTTGCTCTGTTCTTGTCTTCTAGTCATAGTTCTCATGTTTTTTTAGGAATTAGATTGGGAAGAGAGAGGAGCTCCCAGGCCCAAAGGCTAAGTAGTGCCTCTTTTCCTTTGGCTACCTTAGAAGTACAAACTGGGCCAAATGCTAGGGAAACAGACATGAAGGAGTAACCTCTGAAACATGGGAAGTTAATTACAGTTAAAAATACTTAGAGGGGCTGATTTATGAATCACGCCTTTCTGTGTGACCCTTTTACTGCTGTGGGAGATTGCCTGTGAGTCTGAATCACCTCTGAAACCTGATAACCTAATAACCTAGTTTGACTAAGTTTGACTTCTGTGGACACGATTTGGGGATTTGTCACATTGTCTTGTTTTTTTCATTTATGTACCAAATATTCACTGAGTGGTTTTTACATGACCAGGGCTATGACTACCATCTGAAAAACAAAGATAATGTTTGGCATGATTCTTTTCTTTAAGTAACTCAATCCAGTGGGGTTAGAAAATAATGTTGACAAATAATTATTGCAACATACAATAGCAGGCAAAGATGAGGGACAGAGAGAATGTCGATTGAGGAAATTTGATGTGTATACTGTCTCATTAAATCCTTACAACAACCCTATAAAGGTTATTTTATTATAGTACGTACAATGCAGATGAAGATATGGACACTTAGAGGAATTATGTAACTGTCCCCAAATCAAACTGTAGTAAGTAGTGAATCCTGATTTTTAAAAATGTTATTATTTTTTCTTCTAAGGAAATAAAACTTCAACAATACTCTAATTACTGAAAATAATACTTGTAAAGTGAGATCATAGTCTGGTAATTTAATAGAACACCAGCCTCTTGGCAATTCAAAAGATATTTGCAGAATATAGAGCTCTGATAATTTTGAACTCTGCTATAGAAATGCCACCTGCTTTTTGAGGGAAGAGAGTAAAAAATAGAAATAGGCTTTACTTTGTTTTAAAATTGCCACCTGCTGCTTCTCTTTCCCATTAATGGAAATTGTATATGTATTCTCCTGTAATTTCCTCATCTTAAAGCATCACAGTTTATAATGGTGTTTGAGTGGGCTTGTGCTTTTAAATTTAAGCTTTACTCAGGATGTAGCTATGAACAGCTGCTGTTTTACGGGCCTTCTGAATGAGTAACACCCCACTGCACCCAGGCTTGTTTTTCTGAGATTTCCCTCTCTGGCTTATGAAATCCTGTGTATTCTCATGAGTGTGTATGTGGTACTCACATCTCAAAATCCATGTTGATCTTGTAGTAGAGCACACAATTCCATGGAAGAGACAAACATTCTTGCATCTTTTATGGCAGTACAATAGGAATGCCAAAAAAAGGTCTTCTTAGGACAGTTTAGAAAGGAATTACATATAGGTTTCTTTTTCGTTTAAAAAGAAAATAATTCCTCTTGAATATGTTAGTAAATAGCTTTTTAAGAAGGGAATGGCTTATTACACTCACTTAAATATATATATTGTCCTTTATATTTAGAGAACTAAGAAGCAGTTGCTTTGTAATGCATAAAACAACTTATTAGAATAAACTATAAATAGTCTACAGCATGCAGAAGGCACAAATACTGTGTCTAGAATTTTCTAAACCACAAAAAGAAACCCTTCACTGGCTATCTCTCAGTTATGTTTAAGGAATGACTACCCCTTTCTAAGGACTGAATGACAAAAGTCTTCCCTTCAAGTACTTTTTTATTAAATGTTAAAGAAGGTGTTTTTCAGGACTACTAACCTAGGCCTAAGAATTCAGATTGTTACCAACATGGGACTAAGCACTTACATTAATTTACTGTAGAAAAGCAAGGTCCAGTGTATCTGTTGAGATACAGTGTACTTTTGGGTGTGCATTTCACGGAGTTTTAAAAAATACAGTCATGTAGCTACCATAAGGAAGATGTAGAATATTTCTATTACCTCAAAAATTTTATTTTTTTTAGGTTAATAATGCTACTGTAGGATTAGAATAGGTTGTTTTGTTCTCCCTACTCTATTTTTTAAAATTAAGTTCTACTTTTATTAAAATTTCAGTTTTTCGCTAATGTCCTTTTTTCTGTTTCAGGATCCCATCTAGGGTACCATATTGTGTAGTTCTATGTAGGCATCATTTTTGTAGGAAATAGTTAACCTGTAGTTTGATTATATGTTGATAATGTCAAGTAAAGTAGCAGGAAATGCATCAGAATGAGATATTTCAAAGAAAAACATAAATGAAATCCTATGGTTCATTACTAACATATTATAGCCCTTTTATTATGACATAGATGAAGTTGTTAGAAACCAGATAAATACATTTGACTAGTAAGAAATAGCTAAAAATAATTTGGGGTTGCTTGTTGAGGAAGGAAGAGGACCATGAAGTGGAAGATTTTACTTATGGTGTACTATGTATGCATAGGCTTGCATGTGGACTAAGGACATAGATTATGATTACTGGATAGTAAATATGGAAATTCAGATGGAATCTTGGAGTTTTTCTATAAAGAGACGACAACAAAATACACATTTTTACAAAAGATGAATTCAAGGAACCTTATTTGCTTTGCAAAATAATTAATCATGTCTTTCTGCTATCTTATTTTAATTCCATTGGAACTTATATAGCTTTTACAATAAATTTTAAATTAGCACGTGCTCAGGAAAAAGAATGGAGAAAGTACAAACAGCCATAAAGACAAAAATTGCCCTCAAATATGCTCAGATATAATCATTGAAAATTTGGCAAGTTTTTTTTTCTGTGTGCATTTTTGTATACATATGTACACATATCTCAAAACTCATTTTATTGTGTCTCCCATTTTATGATCTCCCCTTTTCCTTGAATGAGAGTCTTTAAACACCCACCTCTATAATGGTGTGATTTCTAGAAGTTTTGAAAAGTGTCTGTAGCATACAGAAGGTGTGGGGAGGACGGTGGGGCAGGCCTGGGGCACCATTCACAGTGGAGCTCTGAAGTTGTGTGGCAGTGCCAGCCATGCCTGCTATGGGTGTGTCCACAGCCACCTCCCTGATGTGCACCTGGGGTGAGAATGAGCACTGGTGATGTCATCCTGGAAGGTTTCACATTTTAGGTTCTGTTTTTCTCCACCTGTGTTTAGAACTCTTTGAAATACTCCATTTAAAAATACTAATGCTAACTCAGGTTCCAATTACCATTTCCCCACAGGCTTAAATGTTAACCCTCAAGATCGAAACTTTATCCTTATGTATGTGAGCAGACTTGCCAGATGGCAGGCCCATTAATATATTTTTGCAAGGTGCAGAAATGTTTTTTCTCCATAGGGGAACAATGAATCCATCTGCTCCACATCTTCCTTTCCCCTCTGTCCTTTGGGAAAAATCATCATTTAATTTTCAGAAATAAATTGTGCCACTTTCTGATTTTTTTAAGGAAGTACTTTTAGTTATGAAAACTTTTGAAAATTATATAATTAATTCTATGGACAGGGTATTACTGGTTTGAAAGGTGAACATCCTGAATCATATGTTTAAAATGAGGCTATCAGGGCCAGTGACGCACACCTGTGGTCCCAGCTGCTGGGGACACAGAAGTAGGAGGATTGTAGTCCAAGCAAAATTAAGGTGAGACCCTCTTTCAAAAGCAAACTAAAAGCAGAGGAGTGGGGTATGGCTCAAGTGGTAGAACACTTGCCTGGCAAGCATAGGCCAGTACCACAGAAGGAAAAAAGCAACACCCCCCCACACCCCCAAAAAGCATAAAGAAACAAATGAGACTGTCAGAAACATCTAGTTGACTCCCTCTCCCTTGTAAGATGAGAAGATTAACATTTAGCTACTAAAGTTTCAAGCTAGTAAGCAACAGAGATGGACTTGGAACCTGGTCTTCAGGTTCTAAATTAGGACAGCCATGGTATCAAGGGGGAAAAAAGGACTGAGAACCTAGACTAAGGTTCACACAGAAGTATTGCCTGTTCTCATTTGAGTTTCAGGCACTGAACTGTGCAGGTTGCCTTTATACTTGCTTTTTACCCTGAAGTAGCCATTGAGAGCAGTGGATAATTCTTTGCTTATCGTGTGTCTGTCTTGCCTCCCTCGTCTTATAAGGTCCTACAGAGCAAATGCCACATATGTTTTAAAGCACACTTTGGTAGTTCAGTATTGAAACAAATGAATTACTGAATATATGAATATCAGTGGGTTAATTTGCAAAATCCTCTTAAAGAGTGTTGAAATTCCAGGAAGGCAACTGCATTCTAGCTTTTCCAGAATCTGTCACATCATGGAACAGAATTTGATCCCCCTCCCCTATGGTACAAAAGAGTTTATTACTGGATGTTCTAGAAGCTTCTTTTAGGAGCAGTGTTTCGCATACAAAAATGTGTACCAGTACTTTTCCATATTTTATGATAGGTGGGTTTGCATCAGTTAATGTTAACTGAGAAGGATTTAGACTTGTCGTCTTTTCTTTCTGTCCTCTTCTTCATCTGTATTCAACCTAAGAGATCCTTCTTACAGGGTAGAAAGTCTTCAGATTTGGATAGACTTTTGTTGGATACCGTCATTAGTCTAGACATATGACCTTGGCAGGTCACCTCAACTCTGATACTTGTTGTTTTTATCTTTATGTAAGAAAAATAATCAATCCTTTTTTATGCTTTAGATAAAACAGATTGTGCAGCCCCAAGGGCAAAGGTGGGCAAATTCCGCCTGCAGGCCTTGCCTGGTTTTGGATGTTAAGTTTTATTAGAAAAGAACCAGAGAGATTCACTTAGCCACTTTGTCTGTGGCTGCCTGTGCTACAAGGGCTGAATCAAGTAGTTGCAAGAGATTCTGGCCTGAAAAGCCAAGAAC